AATAAAGGATGGTTTGTAAGGGTATGAAAACAATTAATGGTGTTGTTATAAACTAGCTTTAGCTATGCTTCCTTTTCTTTTCTCAGTACTTTTCAGATTTTTCAAAATCTAACAATGCAATACAAAAGATCTGCCATATATTGAAAAATAATCCATTACACAAATGTTTTGCCTTAAATGGGAGGGAAACAAATACGGCCTGCATGGCTGAACCCTTCTGAAATGTATTAGCCCATAAGTTATGTGGAAAAATCAAGAAAGTATTCACATACAGCGACTCATGTTTATTTTGAAATTCTGTTGATGATGTAGTTCTCATTAGTAATTTAAGTGCAAATGTCTGCTCAAATATATTAGTTTATAAAATTTAATATCAGCCAAAATCTAAACTACTTGCAGCTCTTACATTCTCTGGCTAAAAAAACAGGATGTTTCTTCCTCTATTCATAACATTTTATTTAATTACACATCAAAAAAACTGTTTTCTTCTTCTATTCTTCTTAAACGTGTTTCGTCTACACTGTTATATAATACATATATACATATAGCCTTCACATTTCAAGATTATACATTTCTAGTAATTTCTTCAAGTAAAATTAAATTCAGCTAAATCTTATTATTACTTTGACACACACATGAAACACTATTGCAAACTTAAAAATGTTTTTAGAGTAATTTTTATTGAGCTGTTCATTTTTATAGCTATTCCTTATGCACTAGCATACAAAGGAAAATAGAAAACTGCAAGCACAATGTTTGTGTGTATCTGTGTGTATCACCATGTATGTGTGTATATCACTGTTTTTCACTGCAGTCAATGACATTGTATAAATTTTGTTAAAAAGGGCAATGTCCACTTACCAGAAAGTAAATCTCACTTAACAAACTTTATTTCTAATTTATCGATCACCTAATTCAGTGGCAAACCTTTTAGAGACTGAGTGCCCAAACCACAACCCCAAACCCATTTATTTATCGCTGCGTGCCGGGTGGACATGGCTGACTGGGTGGGCATGGCCACAGCGGGTGTGGCCATCTTGATGGTGTTTGTGGGGACAGATGCTTGTGGGGGCCAGGAAGGGTTGGGGGAGATCCAGGGGGTCTCTAGCAGATGGGGCAGTGGACTGGAGGCTCATCCTGTGGGGTGAGGTGAGGAGAGGCAGGATGGGTGTGCCAATTGCTGCGGGGCAAGGCAAGGCAGGGGCTGGAGCAGCTGCTGCCTGACACCATCAGCCCCCCCCCCAAACAGAGGCCAGCGAGCGCATGGGGGCCGCTGGTGTCCGTCAGCAGCCACAGCCTCATGCATCATGGCAACCCCATTGGCATGAGTGGAGATGGCCCTGGGATGGCCGGAAAGGAGCCCTCACCTGGTGCGGGTCCTCCCTACAGGGTGGCTCTGATGGGGGCTGCTGCTGCTGCTGCTCTGACCAGTCAGCCCTGCAGGGAAGCAGAAGGAGCAGGTGGTGCGCGAATCTGCTGCCTCGTCAGGCTGCTAGTGAGCAGCCGAAGCGGCTCCAGACTCCCGGCGGCCCTCTACCTCCTCCTGCTTCCCTGCATGGCTGACCTGGTCAGAGCAGCAGCAGAAGCCACCCCCATCAGATCTGTTGAGTGGATGCTCCCAGGCCGGGCTTCCTCGCCCCCATAAATCGGCAAGAAGTAAAATCTCTCTTATTACAGCTTAGTTCACAACCATAATTAAAAAAACCTTTGTTCCCAAGAATTTTTTTCCTAGCAGCCAGGCAGAAGAGCGGAGCCCCAAGGCAAGTGTCCCGAAGCTGTTTCCGCCTGCGTCTTTTTTATTCTCAATTCTATTGCTCGTGTGTTGTCTGCACCCCACCCCCCAATTGCTCTACACTATGCAGCCCAGGGAGATTCACCCCCCCATCTCAGGGCCCCGCTCTTCTGCCTGGTGCTGGCAGCTCCATCATCCGCAGCGGCCGGAACAAGAGGCGGGTTGCAGCAACCCATTAATCTGTTTGCTGCATCGGCACCTGGAGGCTTGCTATTTCCCCTCTCCTCCACCCAAAAATCTAGCTCATGTGCCTTTGCTCAGCTCATCTGCCTTATTATGGTTGTGAACTAAGCCGTAATAAGATAGGTTTTACTTCTTGCCGATTTATGGGGGGAGGAAGCCCTTGCCCGGCCTGGGCGCATCCACTCGACAGATCTGATGGGGGTGGCTTCTGCTTCTGCTCTGACCGGTCAGCCATGCAGGGAAGCAGGAGGAGGTGGAGGTGCAGCCAGGGATTTGGAGCCGCCTCAGCTGCTCACTAGCAGCCCGACGAGGCAGCAGATTTGTGCACCAGCTGCTGCTTCCCTGCAGGCTGACCGGTTAGAGCAGCAGCAGAAGCCACCCCCATCAGATCTGTCGAGTGGATAATCCCAGGCCGGGCAAAGGCTTTCTTCCAGCTATCCTGGAGCGATTTCTGCTCACGCCAATGGGGCTCTGTGGCCAGTCCACCATTATGCAGGACAGTCACATGCTGTAGCTGCTGACAGACACTGTTGGCCCCCATGCGTTCGCTGGCTTCTGTGTGTGGGGGCCGATACTATCAGGCAGAAGATCCAGAAGTGAAGTTCTGCCGACCATCCTCACGCTTCTCTGTGTGGTTGGCCAAGGGGCTCAGAGCAGCAGCCGCCGCCCCCGTCAAAGCCACCCTGTAGACAGGACTTGCACCAAGTGAGGGCTCCTTTCCAGCTGTCCCGGGGTCATCTCCGCTCACACCGATGGGGCTACACTGCGGAAGGGAGATGGCAGCTCTGACTTCACTCACTCTCCTGCCAAAACTGCTCCTTTTATACGTTTCCTCACCCCTCCCAGCTCTTGCAGCTATTCCCGGACTGTGCATGCATGGAGAGGGGGAGGAGCCCAGAAATGGCATGCGTGCCCACAGGGACGGCTCTGCATACCGCCTGTGGCAAGCGTGCCATAGGTTCGCCACCATTGACCTAATTTATGAATTTCATTTGTTTTTCTAAACCAAGAAACTCTGCTGAAAAGTAAAACATTGTAGTGTATTTTAAATACTTCCTAAGCTGTTTTTATTGAGTTATGTACTGTTTCATACATAAAAAAGCTGAGAATGGTGAAGTCTAGTTTTATTAAAATTAAAAAGTGATGCTCAAATATTATCCCAAAATAAAGAATATGCATAACATGTTAACAGTGCAATACACAGTAATGATTTATTAAACACAAAGGATTTTTGAAAGGAAATATTTTTCCTATTATTAATCAATCTGAAAATCAGTGAAATTTTTTTTTGCCTCTTTAAATATAAAATACAAAACTGAATCTGGAAAATTAGAGACATTAATAGAATCTTATTCAAATAATGTATCTTGAACTCAAATTCATGAATACATTTCTTAAAGATGTATACTTAAAGCTTTCCCAAATCTAGTAGGGATTGGTTCTGAGTTATCATAGTTTATTGAACAATATATCTACCGTTTTCACTTTGTTAAAATACTGAAATAATTCATTGTAAAACTAAACATTAAACACGGGGGATATCAAAACAGTTAAGACTAAGCAGTCAATATAAGATCAATGGAAATATACTGTAATTTACAGAATTTGCTAAACTTGAATAATTAAAATCTGCAAATAACTTTTGAAAATAGTCAGAAGCATTTTCACCAAACTATAGATATTAAACTATTCCTGAAACTGTAAAAAAAGAGTACAAAGGGCTAGCAGAGGCCTAGTTTATCTATATCCAGAGTCAGGAATATTACATAATTTGCATGTTAATTGCCATAAAAAGGGTAACTATAACACTGTATACATAATTACAAGCCACTAACTCTTTCTTTGCAGGAAACCTATTTTATAGGTAATGAATTCTCAGAATAGAATGCATGTAATGGGGTGGATTTTTTTTTAAGAAAATGCATAAATGCAGTGAGATGGGCAGCATGAAAATTTAATAAATAAGTAAATAGACCACCCTGTAGCTATAGATCCTAAATACAAAAGGTAATATCATACAGAGTATTAATGATTGAATAATCTTAATCAGAAAAAAACATTCCCTTATGCAAGATAAAATTCTGCAATTGTTTTAGACATTTCAAATATAGTACCTTCCCTGCCAAAAAAGAAACACAAATATATTTTAAGTTTGTTAGCTGTACAGCACTGATAGTTCTCTCTGCTTCCCCCCAAATACGGCTCTCAGTGTAAGAACAGTTACTTTTTCTTCAAAAGGGGAACTTGCAGTACACAGGCACATTTACTGTGTCCTAAAAAAGACTACTGTTTATGAAACATCAGTTCTCTGCAAGCCCTTACAAAAATACAATATAAGGAACTTCAAACCACCATGGATAATTAAAAAAGATATTTCCATAACAGTATCCTGAAATCCGTTGAATCAACTTTGGTTCATGACCCAAAATTACCAAGTATTATAAGCTAAACGTTCTGGCACACATAATTGCAAAAAATGCTTAAAAATTAAAAACATAAACTAGCTGTACTGCTTAAGTTATATTACTACTACTACTGTATACTTTTCTGAAAGGGCAGATGAAGATGCTGTGTATGGTGGACAAGGAGTAGATATGGAAGAGATGCTTTGGCTATCTGCCTTCGCTATCCTGAAAGCTTCAGGCAAGAAGCACGTGAACCAATTAGAGCAGGAACAGCCAGGGGGAGTGTGATGCTACAGCCGTCACGGGAATAAATTCAGATACATGGATGCCTCCATGGTAATGAACATATGAACAATTCACTTCTTGCCTAGGGCCCAGCTAAAAGAAAGCTCAGAAATTTCACAGAAAAGTTTGGAGCGGGGGGAGGGGAGAGCTGGATACTTGCCTTTCCTCATTTACTATTTCTATGCAAGGGGAGGAGACGAGGCGGGCGGCATACGGAGACTCGGCTCACAAAGGAGGAAGACTATCCCTAACTACCCCCCTTTTCTTCCTATCCACGCTGTTTGCAAAGCTTTTCCTGAATCTGTCTTGCCATTTTCGTCCTTCCATCCATTTACCTGGACGCCGCTGACGAGGTTTCCCAAGCCTTGCACAACAAAAGAAACGTACCGAGCCAGCAACACTCGAAACTATTTCAGGTGGTGCTGCGGAGCAGCCTCTTCCTAGCTGGACTTCTCGGCTACTCGAAACTCGTCTAGTCAACTTCAGAGCTGAGCTGTGGAGGCCGCCATCTTCACTCGGACAGACAAGCCAGCCACCACGCGCACGCGCAGACACCGGAGATCACGGGACAAATCAAACTCAGCTGATCGTTTGCTCCTTCCTCTCCTCCCCCCTCCGTCTCCTGTTGCTCGGAATTCGCTGCCTTTCTCACGTCGCTTCCCTTTTTTCAAGGAATGGGAGCATGCGCAGAACGAGCAGCGGAAAGGAAAGCAAAGGTCGGCGGCTTCCTAATAGAAAGGGAACGCCCTCGGTCCGCTTGGCGAGCGGGAGGAGGCAGAGTAAAAATCAAACGGGAGGAGGGCATTTCTTACAGCTGCGGGCTAGATCACTTTTGGGCGCGGAAGGGTAAATGGGGGCACGTGGTAATGGTAGGAATGGCAGAGCGCCTAGAAAATCATTGGAAAAAGTGAAGGAATAGAATGAAAAATATATAATTCTATGATTGTTGTTAGTTGCGAAGTCGTGTCCGACCTATCGTGACCACATGGACAACGTTCCTCCAGGCCTTCCTGTGTTCTACCATCTTCTGGAGTCCATTTAAATTGGGGGAAGAAATCTAGCATATCATTTCGAGGGCTATAATCTTTGTATGCTATTATCTAAGCCAGACAAACCACTCAGTGACTTAAGTATGTTGGGTGAGACAATGGATGGAATTTGTAAACCATGGTTTCCATATGACAATGTTGAAGGAAAAGTAATCATGCTTCAGTCCAAGCGGGGAATAAACAACATGGTGACTGCTTTAGAAAGAAGGTTGCAGTTTATTGAAGAAGAGAGACAGAAAGATGGCTCTGGAAGAAAAGAGAGAGAGCACATATAGGGAGTGGGTTTTTATACCTTCTTGAGTCTTTTGTTTGGAGTTGTTCCTGTGACATGAACTTTGACCTGAGTCTGAGTGTGCCTTTCTGGTATTCTGATGGTGATGGGTTAATCCTATTATGTCCCAAAGGTCAGTCCTGCTTCCCTGGGGCTGTAGCTGATGACTCTTAGATTTTTGGTATGAGGGATTGTTGATTCTAGGGATCTTTCTTCCTAATCCCAGTTTCCTGACTCAAATCTTTCTGACATTATCACATCTGCATTTCTGCAGGCCTGGTTTCTGTTTGGGACAGAGAGACTTGTGGGTGGGGTTGGTTTCTGCTTTTAAAATCCTTTAGAGGAATATATTCTGCCTTTTAAATATTTCCAAAAATATTTCTTTCTGGGGGGGGGGTGACTTCCCACAACAATGTGTCATTTACTCAGAAAATTGGGCTAACCCTGACTTAGTATGCATTGTGAACACATTATTATGTTTCAAATTTCTTTTGCTTTTGTTCTGAAAGTTTAAAAAATTGATCTTTTGAAGCAATGTGCCAATTGTTCCCACATTTATTTGCGCTAGCTTTGTAAGGACAATTACTGTAGTTTGAGGCTGCTGGTCTGATTTCTTGGTTATGGGACATTGCAAATCTAGAAAATAATGTCTGCCTTATTTTCTGAAATAATAAAGAACAATTGGACAATACTGTAAAGTTGTTCTGTACTGATTGTAATGATAATTTGTAGAGAATCTGTTGGCATGAAAGATTGGATTCCTTGCAGAGGTGTCAAACTGCCAGCCTCTGGGTCGGTTTCATCATACTGAAGCCGGACCCACCCTAATGCGGCAATGCAAAAAAAGTCTTATGACTCATCACGTGACGTGGCGAGTTTGACACCCGTGCTTTATAGTTTCCACAACTACTGCTAAAGTCTGAGTAAGAAAAAGGTAATGATTCCATCCCTAAATGGTGGAATCACTATCTTTTTTTTAACAGAAAACAATTTTTGAAGTAAAAGATGGTTGCTTGTGTTATAGGACCAGAATCAATGGATTAAAACTACAAGGGATATTTCAGATTATGTCATAAATAACTTCCTGTTTAACCTCCTAAGAAATGTAACAAGACGATATACAAAGGAATGAGTTCTCCTTTGCTATTGGCCTACATGGTCAGCTGTCAGAGATTCTCTAGTCTAGTGGATTCTGTATGGAGTACAAAGCTTGACCTCTAAAATCTTCTACACTTCTATAACTAAATAAAAGCTGTTCATAAAGAGATGGTTTTTGTCATCTTTTAAGACAAAGATATAAGTAAAACTTGTAGAGTGAGGTGGGTGTGTATACACTCATGCACACAATTATTAGACAATATTCTATGGTCTATTTCTACAGAGCAGCAGAATTATTTTGACTAAAAAGCCATCAAGGTCACTGAACTGTAAAATCTGCAAATAATTAATGGGGTGTTCACAATATTTCTTGACAGCTCAATAGATGGCTGTTTCCCAAGGCTGTTTCCAGCTAATCTCTGTGGGTCTGCTTCCTTTCTTCAGCTAGTGCTTAATTAACAGAGAAGCCTTGCTTTTCACATTCAGATATGCTATCTGATTAAACAAAAAATTAGCCATATAGTTTTAGGATTCAAAAAAGCTTTCCTTAGCCAAGTCTTAAGAGCTAGGTTACAAAGATCAGTAACCTAATACATCATAAATTTTTACATTTCTCTCTCATTAAATTCATCCAATTATAAAGGATTTGGAAAAGTTTAATCAACAATTTCCTAGGACACAGTTTTTTACTTCTGCCTTTTACCATTGGCTTTAAGCTACCCAAGACTCAATTTGTCAAAGATATTTATTTCAAATCTATGTCAAAAAGGTTTCTATCTTCTTGGAAGGCTTATAAAATCTTATTGCTGCAGGATCTACTTAGATCCTTTTTAAAGGCTGACAAATGATAAATGTTTTTGTGGTTTGTTATATTTGCTACTTAGGTTTTTTTTTAAAAAAATCAATATGGGGTCAGAGACAGGCACAAGCACATTGGTGCCAATGAATGTCACATGCTCTAGATCAGGCATGTCAAATTCGCGACATCATGTGATGTCACGCAATGTATCGTGACTTTTTCCCCATTGCCAGCAATGGGGTGGGCGCAATTTCAGTATGATGCATCAGTATTGACATGCCTGCTCTAGATTGTAGAATTAGAGCACAATGGGTTTTAAACATGTATTCCTGTTGCAGTAAATTAAGTCTTCTAACTTAAACATTACTCACTTGCTACAGTAAGCATGTGTCATGTTAACATCCTTTTTACAGTGTCTGCTTGGCTACTACAAAAATGAAATTGTGTGAAAAGTGGGAACATATCTCTTCTCTAAATGTATTTGCATTTGAAATTCACAACCACTTTACTACATTCATACAAAGAAATAAATAAAATGTGATGTTCTAGAATTCTTAAATAAAACTTGGATTATTGGTTTAGAGCATTATCCTGCCTTATTAGAAATTGCTTTCTTACATCACTAAATTCAATGAGAATTGTTTTGAAATAGATATGTATAGATTTGAGATGCTTGTATGACACCAACAGCAATTAGAAAAACGGATTTATCAAAAGAATAACAAAAAATGGATAAATGAGAATATAATTCCCATTTAAACCATTCTTATAATTTGTCTATACTTATGAGCTAAGCAGGGTTTTTTTTTAGAAAATAAAAATAAATTATATTTAAATTACCACAAGGATTACTATAGGCCAGTGCTAGCGAACCTTTTAGAGACTGAGTGCCCAAAAACTGACCCCACCCCCGCTCCACCTCCCTGCTGTGCCCCCGCTCTGCCCCTCCATCCCCCGCCCCGCCTGTCCACAGGACTACTCATTGCCTCCAGGGCCCACTGCAGATCGCCCAGGCAGCCCAGCAGCGCTATGGCGGCCACACCCTCTGCCTGCATCCTGTAGCATCAACTGCATGATGGGTGTGAGGGCAGAGTCTTGTCTACGCTGCCTGGCTGACATGTCCTTGACTGCACTGCTCCATATGGACCACACTCGAGGGCAACTCTCCTTCAGGGGGGCTGCTGGAGAGGAGGGGATCATGGGGGGAGGCAAGGCTGGGGCAATGACGTGTGTTCACAGAGAGGGCTCCGAGTGCCGGCTCTGGCACCTGTGCCATAGGTTCGCCACCATTGCTATAGGCAGTTAATTGTACAACTTTTTTTTATATACCTTAGCTTGTTAATTATTCATACAATTTGTAGGAATTTTAGTTAGTAGGAAGTACACGTTGTATTAATGATCTTCCCCATTGCTTCAACAAACCTGAAAATTCATAATATTATAAGAGAGCTGCCTATGTCTCCCCTAAATGTTGGAAATGTAATCTGACAAGTGGAACTTACTATCATATGTGGTGGGAATGCACGCGAGCTTGTGATTTTTGGAACAGGATTAAAGTATGGTTGGAAGAAATATTAGAGCAAGTGGTAGAACCAAAACCAGAACTCTTTCTATTAAGTTTAACTACGCAAAGCATGACAAAGGCGTACTTTATTTAATGCTACACATTTTAACGGCTTCCAGACTGGTTTTTGCTTAAAATTGGAGGAATAAGGGAACTCCAACGGAAGAAGAGATCCTGCATAAAATTTTATCATGTGCTGAGATAGACAGGCTTACAATGATTATGAAAGACAAGACAGAACACGAATACTTCGAAATCTGGGGCAAATTTTACCGTTGGTATGAATTAAGGAGAACTGCTCGGACTTCAAGTTAATGGTAGAATTAAAAGATATATATAACTGTACATATAATTGTATATATAATTGTATAGAAGCTGAGGCTTATATAGAGGTTAAGAACGATGTATTAAGCTTTTGTACCATGATAGGAGCTGATAGGAAAATTCATTCTGGAATGTCATGTTTGTCCATTGTTGTTTTAATTGTATTATGAATAAAAATATTAAAAAAGAGAGCTGCCTAAAATCGCTTGAAATAAATAATTCAACAATAAAATTGCCTTTAATATGCTTTATTTTTATGTGTATATACATGCAATTTGGCATGTGTATTTAAGCAATGTTGCTAAAGGGGGGGGGAATAGTATTCCAGTTGCTGGAATTTGGCATGTATATTTAAGTATTGCTATTAAACGGGAAAAGAAAGCCTGAATTCCAGTTGCTAGAATTTGGTATATATATTTAAGCAATGCTGCTAAAGAAGAAAAAAAATCAGAATTCCAGTTGCTGTAGTTAGGAT